TAGGGAGGGAGCCCAGTCCAGATTGGGAAAGAGATCATTCTGGATTGGGAGAGGGCCCAGTTTTTATCAAGAACGAGCTCATTCCGGATAGGAGGGTGCCGTGTCCAAAATGGGTGGGAGCCAGATCTGGATCAGAAGTGACGTGTTTGTGAGTAAGCACTATGTGATGAGAATCTGATGCAGGAAAACTCTAAGAGAAGCGGACTATATTTGAGGTAGTGCTCAGATACAGAGAGGTGATGGTTGGAGAGGGCTGCCTTTCCTTGAGGCAGTACCAGAATGAACTGGTACTCTGTCTCAGTGCTGTCACAACACCGGCTGATGTAATGAAGTGGATCACAGTCAACATTGTTGGTCTGAGAGTCTCTATTGTCTCCACTGCTATGAGCGTGTGCAGCTAATACCAGGGAGCATTCTGGAAACGCTGGCACCCTGGAACTCTGATTGTCACTGATGAATGGAGCCACAGCTGAGAACTTAAAGTGGCCTCACACAGAAACCATTCTGCTCATGCACCAGAGAATAGACATGTACTGCATCTGCACAGCTCCTGGAGCAAGTCGACCATTCAAGCAATACAAAGCAGAAATACTGTTCCCCTCCAACCTAAACTCTATCCACCCATCGTTTACCCAACCTATTCCCAACACAAACACTTATCAAACAATCAAATTCAACAGCTGCAATATCAGTACTAAGGGCAGGTCAGTGCTGAGGGAGAAGGCACTGTCGGAGGGTCGGTGCTGAGGAAGCGCCGCGCTGTCGGAGGGTCGGTGCTGAGGGAGCGCCACACTGTCGGAGGGTCAGTGCTGTGGGAGTGCCGCGCTGTCGGAGGGTCAGTGCTGAGACAGTTTTTTTTCTATTCATTTACGGGATGTGAGCATCGCTGGCTTGGCCAGCATTTATTGCCCGTCCCTAGTTGCCCCTTGAGAAGGTGGAATTGAGCTGCCTTCTTGAACCGCTGCAGTCCACCTGCTGTGGGTTAACCCACAATGCCATTAGGGAAGGAATTGCAGGATTTGACCCAGCAACAGTGAAGGAACAGCAATATATTTACAAGTCAGGATTGTCAGTGGCTTGGAGGGGAACTTGAAGGTGTTGGTGTTCCCCATGTATCTGCTGCCCTTGTCCTTCCAGATGGGAGTGGTCGTGGGTTTGGAAGACATTCTCTGAAGATCTTTAGTGAATTTCTGCAGTGTGTCTTGTAGATTTCAAATACTAATGCTACTGAGCATTGGTGTAGAGGGAGTGGATGCTCTTGGGATGTAGTGCCAATCAAGCGGGCTGCTTTGTCCTGGATGGTGTCAAGCTTCTTGAATGTTGTTGGGGCTGCATTCATCCAGTCAGGTGGGGAGTATTCCATCACACTCCTGACTTGTGCCTTGTAGATGATAGGTAGGCTGTGGGGAGTCAGGAGGTGAGTTACTTGCTGCAGTATTCCCAGCCTCTGAACTGCTCTTGTAGCCAGTGATAATGTGGTGAGTTCAGATGAGTTTCTGGTCAATGATAACCCCTGGGATGTTGATAGTGGGGATTCAGTGTTGGTAACACCAGTTGAATGCCAAGGGGCAGTGGTTAGATTGTCTCTTATTTGTTATGGTCATAGCCTGGCATTTGTGTGGCGTGAACGTCACTTGCCACTTGTCAGCCCAAGCCTGGGTATTGTTCAGATCTTGTTGCATTTGAACACGGACTGCTTCAGTATCTGAGGAGTCACGAATGGTGCTGAACATTGTGCAATCATCGGCGAACATCCCCAATTCTGACCTTATGATGGAGGGAAGGTCATTGATGGAGCAGCTGAAGATGGTTTGGCCAAGGACACTATCCTGAGGAACTCCTGCGGAGATGTCCTAGAGCTGAGATGAC